GGGTATTTGATCTAGATACTAAAACTATTTTTACCAATCGAGATGTCATTTTTCGCGAGGAAGAGTTCTCCTTCAAAACCATGCCATCCGAGCATAACAACACTCATGTTGTCCTTCCAAAATCTGTACAACAACTTGACACCAACAGTACACCTAGTCTGTCAAATGAGGAAACTATTGTTCCAAGTGTTTTGCCACCATCCAATCTTGAAAAAGATAAAGGACTTCACCAACCCGTCAAAGAGCCTCCATCTTCTCTTTGTCAATCTTCATGTTCCCATGTTCAGCCATCTAAACTTAAGGATTACATTTGCTCCACTGCCGACTACAGTCCATCACAGCAAGAACCTTCTTCTATAAAGCCACCCTCAGGTAAAGGGTATCCTATCCAACCTTATCTTGCTTCACCCAATTTTTCTTTATCCCACAAAGCTTTCATGTCCACTATTTGTTCTCACAAGGAACCCACAAGTTTCTCTCAGGCCGTGAAGAACGCACTTTGGCGTGAAGCTATGGCAGCAGAGATTAAAGCCCTTGAACTAAACAAGACCTAGACCATAGAATCTCTACCGCCTGGGAAAAAACTCATTGGTTGCAAATGGGTATTTAAGATCAAATATAAGGCAAACGAAACCATTGAGCGATACAAGGCGTGCCTAGTTGCTAAAGGGTATACCCAAACTGAGGGATTGGATTACTATGGAACTTTTGCACCCGTCGCCAAATTAGTTACCATCAAAGGCTTGCTTGCAGTTGCAGCATCTAAGCAATGGCCCCTTTTTCAACTCGATGTCAACAACACCTTCTTGCACAACGATTTACATGAAGAAGTATACATGAAAATTCCACCGGGTCTTTCTCGAGAAGGGGAGAACAAAGTCTGCAGTCTACGGAAATATCTATATGGGCTGAAACAAGCTTCAAGAAACTGGTTTCAAAAGTTCTCTCTTGCCCTTCAAGATGCCGGGTTCCACCAATCAACTGCCGACTACTCCCTATTCACCTTGAAGTCTGGGAATCTCATCACTATTGTCTTGGTAAATGTTGATGATATCATCCTCACAGGTAATGATGGAAATCAAATACAAAAAGTCAACACTTTTTTATGCAACGCTTCAATATCAAGGATCTAGGAAAGTTAAAATTTTTCCTTGGAATTGAAGTTGCAAGATCATCTCAAGGAATTCTACTCACCCAACAAAAATATATCCTTGACATTCTAGAGGGGATGGGTTTTCTAGGAACCACACCCTTATATCTTCCAATGGAACAAAATCTAAAGATTTCCTCCGAAGATGGAAAATTGCTAAGCAAATCAGAATCCTATAGGAGGCTAGTTGGTAGATTGATATATCTCACCATAACCCGTCCAAACATCAACTTTGCATTCCACATTCTTAGTCAATATATGCATCAACCAAGAGAGCCACACCTTTCAGTGGCACATCGCTTTCTTAGATACCTCAAAGGCACAACAAACCAAGGGTTCATTCTATCATCTAAAAACTCATTCCAAATTTCTGCATATTGTGATTCCGATTGGGCCAGTTGCCCTATTACTCGGCGTTCAACGACTAGTTATATTACCTATCTTGGGAACAACCCGATCTCTTGGTGAATAAAGAAACAATCTACAGTGTCTCGGTCGTCAGCAGAGGCTGAGTATCGTTCAATGGCAACCACTGCTTGTGAATTAATTTGGCTAAAAACTCTATTTTCAGATTTGGGGATTCACCATCCACAGCCAATGCACCTCCACTGTGATAATCAAGCCTCTCTACACATGGCAGCCAACCCTGTGTATCATGAAAGAACAAAACACATCGAGATTGATTGCCATATCATCAGAGAAAAAATTCAAGCTGGTCTCATATCCACTTTTACAAAGCATCAACTTGCTGGTATTTTGACTAAGGCTTCAGGCAAAGAACAATTTATATTTTTGTTAAGCAAGTTGGGTGTTCTTTTGTCACACATATTAGCTTGAAGGGGAGTATTACAGTTACAAAACCTGGCACATCCAGATTTTGAATTTCAAATTAGACAAACAGAGTCTCTTTTTAGTTGTAACCATGTAATATTTGTATCCCTAATCATAAAGGAACAATTTTGTTTTGCTTTGTATATATTTAAGCTCTCCATTAATGAAAAGATAAGATCGGTGATTCAAAACTCAATCCCACTTAACAAAACTTGCTTAACACCATTGGCTTAATCTCCAAAATCCGAGAAAAATTACAAGCACTGCGCCTCTTTTTTATTCATACTCCCCAACCTCAAGTTTGTGTTGTGACCTCTTTTCAGTGGTCGTTAGTGGAGCTCCGCCAGATTTGGCGAAAGAAGGAGAAATGAACAAAAGTTTAGAGAGAGAGGGGCTATAGTTTTGGGAGGGAAGAGAGAGGCCAACCGAAAGAGAGAGAGATTGTAGGTTTGGGTGGGACGAGAGAAATGGAGAGAGAGAGTTAGCTACCCAAAAAAAGAAAGTGTGAGAGAAAAGAGCACGATTTGTTTTGGCCAAAAAGATTCAGGGGCAAATGTGAAGGTTACTTTCTAAAGGGAAAAGTTTATATAGAGCCGAGGCTCTAAACGATCAAATTTGAACTTATCTCAAAAATTTTATTAGAACATGTTGTTTTGATGCTCAAATATCTTCAAATTGATCATCTCGACATCAAGATGCATAGACATGAGAAAAAATTGGATTTCAAGTTTTGTAAATAGTCCATTTTGTAATGCATTTTTAGACCGTCAATTTTCAAGATTTTCAAATTTTCATAGATATGTCAATCTACACTATTTTTGAAGCTTTAAACATTATATTAAGGCTATCACATAGATTTCCAGTAGTGAAACCACATTTTTCAATACTATTTGAAGGTAGGCTTTAATTTGATTGTTTAGAGCCTAGGCTCTATACAAACAGCACCCATTTCTAAATGGGTTTAACCGGTGATTTCATCTCGAGATGGGTCTTGATCCAAAGGCCGATCCCTAAAACCACCTTACACTTGTGTATTGAAAATACACATGATCATTCCTAGTATTATATTGAATAAAAGAAAAGAAAATTTCGCATAGAACCCTAATTCGGCGTATTATTTTATGGTAGACCCTCCATCCGTTTTTCTTTCAAGCAGTATAAGAAAACTCCTAAAAATTTCATCGTACCTCACATCTCTATCTCCTTCTTTTATTGACTTTTGATCATAAAAATTGGCCCCAACAAATCTTTTTATACCATTTCAACTCAAAAACTTTTTTATGGGTAGAAAAGGAAAAAGAAGGTTCAAAAAGTTTTTGGGATCAAATGGTATAAAAAGATTTATTGGAGCTAATTTTTACGTCAAAAGTCAATAAAAAGGGAAGATAAGAAATGAGGGGGTACGGTTAAATTCTTAGGGATTTCCTTATGCCACTTAAAATAAAAACAGAAAGAGGGTCTACCATAAAATAATATGAGAAATTAGAGTTCTATACGAAATTTTCCCATAAAAGAATATAAGTGTTAAAATAAAATAACATATTATTTTGTAACGATATTAACTTAACAAAAGCATAGTTTTAGGGAAAACTATTAAATTTAACACTTTATCCATGTCTTTTGATTTTATTTCAAAATACCCATAAAAAAACTATCTAATAATTGTAAATGCACAAAATATTAAATATTTCAACTCTTAATAAGTATTTTTGATAAATCCCCCTTTTATATTATTATTACCATTTTGATTATGTTAGGGACTGAAAGGTATATTAATAACTGAAAATGGCATTGAGAAAGTCTAACTCACAAGACACTAGTACCTTCTCAAAAACTCCAAGAAACTAGGCCCTGCACTAAAACTCCAAGAACACAAATAATGAAGATGATTAGTAAATGGAAAGGTTTCCATACCTCCCCTGCAACATAGAAGATCTATGCTTCCCCTACCATCCAGCCGCCCAATTTTGATCAAGAGAGCCATTCACCATTTAATCTTTAGATCTGACGTCTCAAAGTGTTTTATTTTTAGTTTTTTATGCAAATTGTATAATATGAAATTTGGTACGTGACATTTTCTCATCGTCTCATCGGGAAGCACCTAAAAAAAATATTAAAAATAATTTTTTGATATAATATAATGACTAAAATACCTCTTAAAACTTTTAGGGGTATTTTGGTCATTTTGTTTTATTGAAAATATTTTTTTTATATATTTTTCACAAGTACGAATTTAATAGAGGATTGGATGTATAAAATTTGGTATAAAAATAATTTATACAAAAAAAATTAAAATAAAATAATATAAAGTATATAGTCGTAACATTGTGATTGGGGCAATCTTACCCGTCCATTCAGATTAGAAGGTTGGATAAACGGAAGTATATAAGTTCTATGATATAGAGGAAACATAAAGAGCTTGCTCAATATGTAAACCTACATTTAAAATATTTTTTTATTTGGATTACACAAAATATATACCTAAAATAAAATTATGGGACACCACTTATCCTTTTTGAGCCTAGGCTGACCAGTATCTGGTTTGCCGCGTAGGCGCTTTGCAGCCTAAACCCCGCCCACCTAAGTCCATGTCAGCGTTTGAGCTCTGCTACTACATTTAAAATGGACCCGGGCCACTTGGACCTGACTGGATTAGGTCAGGTACGCGACTACAAATAAGAAATAAAAAATAATTTTTTATAATATTTAACTTATATAGTTATATATTTTATATATATCCGAACCGACATGGTCCAAGCCGAACCTAGAAATGGACCGGCGCCAAATCATTTTGACACATACCCTTTCAGACCCACCATTCAACCCACCCGATTTCCACCCAGGAGGCACATGTAAAATCAGTGCCCAGCATAAAAAATAATAAAATAAAAAACTAAAAAAAACAAATATCACCTAAAAGCACCCAAAAACCCTAAGCCCCTAATCTTCCCCTCAAAAGATAGAAATGCCCCTATTCTCCAACAATAAAGAGGTCAGTCTCAAGGAGAGAGGCACTTACAGAACCAGGCCTGTAGGCATCGAAATAGCCCCGAGACTCTTGCTTTTTCATTAGATTTCTCATGTAAGGGTCACAGGAGAGATAGAGATTTTTCACCAGAACAGCCTTAGATCCTTCTGGTACCTTGATTTTAATGGAGCTTGACACCATTTTCATGTCTGTTTCTTTGGGAAAACCAGTCACATAGTCCTTCAATATGATCTGCTTGTTACTCACCTCTTCCCCACTTGCCATTTTCTCAGCAAGAAAAACAATCTCTCTCTCTCTCAAAAAGAACCCAACTCTGTTCAGTTTTTCTCTAGGAAAAACAATCTTTCAACTCTCTCTCTCTAAAAGTAGAATTCCTCAACTCACTGCAAATAAAAGCTCAAAAAACTGACGTTTTTATTCTCTGTAGCAGAGGCCCAAATATACTATGATAATCCTCTTTCTCTCTCTCTAAATGATGTCCCAATATCCTTTCTCTCTCTCCTCGTTGTCTCTCTCTAAATGATATTTCAATATCCTCTCTCTCTCTCTAAATGATACCTTCTCGATAAATGATACCTTCTCGGGGCCCGTTTGTTAATAATTGCAAACGACAAAAACTGCACATTGCGGGGTCGAACTTTTTAGTGGTTGTAGTTTCTATAAAGTTGCAACCTCAAACAATCCATTTGAGGCGCACTTTCAAATTTTATCTAGAATACGTGAGTTTGGTGTAAAAAATTATTAGGATTATCTAAAAATATTTATTTTTTTTATCTAATTATAAATTTTAAATTAAAAAAATGGTTAAAATCACATAGATCTATAAATATATGAAAATCTTGAAAATTGACATGTCTAGATAATGTGTTGCAATATGCATTATTTTTTTACTCAAATTCTTCTTTCTTTTTATTTTTATTTTTTCTTTTCATATTCATACATCACGAGGTCAAGATGATCGATTAGAGGGTTTTTCAATATTAAAACAATATTTTCCAATGGATTTTTTAAACTAATTCTATATTTTATTGTTGCAACCTTATATAAATTTTTTAATTGACTATTATTCCTTTTTATTTTTATTTATTAATAAAAAATTTGTAGTATTTTTATTTTGATAAGATTATCTTGTTATTTGTTTTGATACATAAACAGAGGGTAGGATATTATGTTGAGGCATTCGGCCATCATGTCTTTCGATTTTTTGGGGTGTTTTGTCTCAAGAATTAGTGCGTGAAAGTGTGTCGGGTCCGGCCCAGCCCGGCATGTTAAACTAACGTGCCTTGATTGCAGGCTTGGCCGGGGCACATTTATACTATTCTTGAACTATAAACTTTAGGACACGGTTTTTATGAGTCCATGTAGAAATGAGTGCCTTCTTAAAAATTTATTTTTGCGATGGAATTTTGGACCCAATTGTTAAGTATATATAATCTCTAACATGGAGATCATGAATGTAGAAAAATAAATAAATTTAAATAATTAAAAACAATGCTTTTATAAATAAAACATTTGGACCATTACTTTCAATTGTTTTTAGATGGGCCGTCCATGTGTATCCATCTTTAGAATGAATGCTTTATATCTTGGAGGACACAAATGTAGAAATGCGTCCCCCGACTTATGAAACAATTTTCCTAAATTTTATATAATTGGGGCTCATCGGATCGTATACTAGAGGCCAAGGCCATATGTTGGGGACCGGATCCAGCCTAGCTTGTCGGCCTTACGTTGGGGATTGGACCTAACTTATGACAAGTCAGGCATTCAAGGCAATATTGTCATATTGACTCCGGTCGAAGAGGCCGAAGTCTTTGGATTTTTGACCCAGTCCGAAGCGAAGCAAAGCTCTAGTACATCTACTTCAAGCTTCAGCCCACTTCGATCTAATTTGGCCTCGGTAGTTGAGACACAAAATTGTATTTTGAAAAGATAAAAAGACAATTATATGCTTTGGTGCAATTTAGCCTCTTCAACATGATCATATAATTGTCCTTTTTAATTGAATTTTTATTTTTAAACTTCTTCTAATTTTATATTCGTTATATATAAATATATACTTTTATTAATATTAATTTTCTTTAAAATTTTCAAAGTCTTCTTCTGAATCGGCCCAGGCACCAAATGTTTCATTTTCCGACATCGTTGTCACCGTATATATATATATATATATATATATATATAGTAAGTAA